TTTTTTTTGACGTTTAAAGTCTACTATTCCACAATAAAGATACCTATATTTTAACAACATAGAATTATTGAATTGTGATTGCTATTAATTACAGTACGTATGAATTATTATTATTTACTTACTTTAGAATAATTTCTATGGTTAAAGCACTAATATTAGGTTTTTTTAAAACTAAATAACCAGCATTGTTTCTTTCAGCCCAATTAACAGAGAAAGCACTACGAAAATAAGAAGATCTGGCACGAAGGATTAAAGAATGAACATGAAATTCTTTAATATTTGGTTCTTCTCCAGCAATGATAATTGCATCGTAACCTTCTTTAGTTTCATATAATTGTTTAAAATCATCAATTACGTCTCTATAAAATGTTGTGCTGAAATAATCTTTTTTATTTTTACACATCATGTTCATTTTTAAGAATTTTAAGAATTGTTTATGAATTTTTTTTTTACAGACTAAATAAACGTTGTCAGAATTTGGTATATAATACGTATCGGTATGCTTTATTCATATTAACAAAAAGTACACAATTATGGTAAGAACGATTGTTAACCAATAGAAACCGTGGGAAAAATTACACATCGCCATTATAAAATTAAAAATTTAACAAAAATTTAACAAAATTATTTGACCAAGTTTAAAAAGGAATATAAATATCAAACAAGCTAAACAAAATAGAAATAAAAATAGAGTCATAGTAATCAAATAACCAATTTTAGTAAATGAAGAAAGATTTGTGTGAATTTTTACTCATGAAAAAAAGGAGTAAAATAGGTACAAATTTGGATACAATTATGATAATTATGATATGGGTTAGTCAACAAAATGTTATTGTACGTATGAACTACGGATAATGAACTATAATGAACTATAATGGACCATAATGGACCATAATGGACTATAATACAGTAATAGAAAATACAGTAACGGTAATATATTTAATGTAAACAAATATTGTGTTAATTTAATCGTTTAGTCAATTTAGTTAGTTTAATTAGTTTAATTAGTTTAATTAGTTTAGTTTGTCAGTTTAGTCGGTTTAGTCAGAGGTGTACAAATAACGTTAAATTTCCAACCAATCAGAAAATTATTTTAATCCTATATAACTGATATCTGATATCTTTAAAAAAAAATTTATGTACTTACGTACATACATACAAGATTTTCTAGAAGATTTTCATGTAAAATTTTACGTAATCATTACATACTATTTCATATAATCATTAATTAGTGGATTCGGATACCTGGATAAGGATAACCGACAAGCATACGGCATAACCATTTTTTAACATGATCAGCTAAATAATTTTAGCGCCGGCAACAAAGGTAACTGTACTGTACCTGTAAAAATAATGATACGTACTGTAACGGTAATGATACGCAGAATAATTAACTTAAAATATTGATTTTT